TCTTTTAGTGGCATCACTCCAAAGTGCCAGTTTATGAATTGGCTTGCAGCTTCCACGGTCCCTGGTGATGCAGCCGCCTTGAGGTGCAGGGTGACTTTTGGGGGAAAGAGTTGGTTCAGTCGAAGTCATCGGCTTCAGAACGCATTGAATAGTTGCGACACTTTAAACGGACTTCGTTGCAGGAAGAGTACAACACTTCCATTGCTTTTATTTATAGGTTGTACTTCGGAACGCTATCATTCTGTCACACAATCTTCCCGGTTTGTCGAACGTAATAGCTACTTTGTAAGCAAGGAAGAGTGTACTACACTGAGAACAAGATGAAGAAAGCACTTGTATTTTGATAGCACCTTATCATGTCAAGCATCTCCACGAAACAGCTCCAGCACAAAGATCCACCTTGACATGGGATTTAGACCCAATGCAATGTAAACTGAAGGCAGATTTGCTGTGCTGTGTAATTCACCCTCCAGTGTTTGGTTGCTCAACATTTTGGTGGTGCACAAATCAGTTGCTGTTTACACACGTACAAAGTGAAAAATTGGGTCTGATTGCCAGCCGTGAAAGTAGGACATTTCAACTGAAATGAGGATTGTGCGTACGAGTAAGGAATCCAGATTCAGTACATGAAAAAAGTAGAAGAGAGAGCTCCTGAGGCTATGAAATTTACTGTGGAGCCGAGTGTTGAGTTTTCTTCAGCACAGTAATGCTGAGAATGTTGGCAAGCAGCACAAGTTTTCTCGCACTGCCGAAAAGCTAACCAAATTATTCTCTTTAATCTGTCCCATGAAGCGTTTGAATACTGCGCTTGTCAGTTTTGGGCCAGCAAACCATTGTCTTTGTGTCACCGACCTGTTAAATGATTTGTTAGTTACAGAAAATTAGAGGAAAAAGCCTTTGTGGTTGGGCTGAGAAGTGGTTGAAACTGAAATTATGTATGATTTTATTCACACAGTGGTTTGGTGTTCATATCTGCTACGTTATGCATATTCATGTCTGTAGGAGGAACTTAAAAAAGGGAAAAGTGATATTTTAGGCAAGTCTTAGAATACCAGTATTTTGTTTGGAACATATTATCTCATTACATAATATTTCATTTTCCTGCACCCGTGATAGCTGTCTTTCTTCAATTCAGTCAGATTTTGACTGGTCAAATGAGCAGAACAGTGCTTTGGTTGCACGATTGTTCCCGTATAAAGGGTTTTTAATTCCGCTGGACGTCATCACTCCCTTAGATTCAGGCCTTTCTGCATTGGATAATGCACTTGTTTCCCACCAAGAAAAACATTCGCAGTTAGCACTTAGTTTGAAGTTTTCGCATCAAATTACCAATAGGGAAAGCACCATCGGAGGATGGCACAAATTGTTCGGAACGTTTGATCGATGGGCCTGTGGGAAAGATCTGAAGCAGTCCTGCTGTACTTTTGCCTTATTTAGTGCTACTAAGTGGCACTTACCACCATGCCTTTCATTCTGGATGGCTATCTAATCAGGCTAGTGGGAGAGAAGAAAGCTCACCATTGAGCAAAACTATTGTGTGGTTAATACGTTTTAACAAGAAAAAATAATCCTCAGATTTGTTATCTTGCCTAAAGAGTTGTAATGTCTCAAAGCTTGAGCAGGCTTGTCAAAAGTCTTGTCAAGTGTAGTAATAACAATAATAATCTTTGTATTTGATATAGCACCTTATCACTTCATTGAGACGCCTCAAAGCGCTTTATAGGATATATAGTAAAGTGCAGTGACTGTGTATTTTGGGATCTTTAACGTCTACCAGAACAGGCAGACGGGACCCCAGTTTAACGTCTCATCCAAAGTGCGGATTTGCAGGCAAATGCGGCCCCAATTTGTACTTAGCTATATAATTATGTCACATCAGCAGCCACAAACTGTTCTGTACTCAGAAAAGGTGTACGTAGCCGTATAAATTGATGATGAAAACTGCGTTCAATTCTTGCACAAGTTTCTGTATCTACATTTACGCCTGAGGCCAACTGAGAATTGATTTGTGTATCGGGTTGATGTATTAATTTCTGCTGATTTTATAACCATTAATTAACAGAGAAAACTCTACAAGTGCTTCTTTTTATTTCCCTTTTGCGTTGATGTGATTGATTATTCCTGGCAACAGTTGGGAGATGGGCATTAATTCTGTTTTGTTCTGGTTTAGTGATGTTTCATTGGTACAAAAATCAATTTCATGTCCAATGGTGTAATTAGCAGCGATAATTTTTTTAAAAAAAACTGAAGATGAAGAAATTAATCCTTAAATATTAACTTGCTTAATCGTTCAGCCAGATGCAGCTGGTCTGTCAAATATAAACAGAAGTTCAATGTCAGTACTTCATATTTCAGCCTTCAAATCTCTGACTTATGATGGTGTACAATTCCACAGAATCTAACTGCCCTTTGTGCCTCACCCAATGAAATATTCTTCATTCGTGTCGAGATGGGGCACGTTAGCAGCCTACACACTGCACTGTAAGGGTAGGTGGTATCAACAGCTGAACCCGATTCTGTCCTTTGTGACTTCCACAAAGCTTATTTAGCAAGAATCTACACAGGAGTTGTCCTCCAGGAATGCTGAGGCTAATTTTAGTGCTCCCTACTGTTACCTTAGTGGAAATCAGTTGACTCAGGACCAAGATTGAACCTGACACATCCCTGGTCTGTAAGGCTGTACTCACCTGCCCATCGGGGGACAGGGCACTCTTAAATAATGTGCTGATTATTAACATGCACTCACACACACACACATGTTTCTCCTTCCCCTTCCTCCATTTCTCAAACAGTCTGAAGGGAAGCATCCTTTGCTAATGCTTCCCTTTCAGACTGCTTGTCTTCAAGAATTGTTTTCTTGACTACAATAGTTGACAAGGTCTCCGTGGGATTGGTGCATCTGAAAAGTGTAGTACAAGTAGTTCCATAAAACAGCAGAGGAATCTTTCAGATGCTCTGTAAAACATTGGTGTGACTGCATGAAGGGAGCACTGCTGCCATAATTGCAACAAGGCTGAGATGGTGGAAAGAAATCAAAGTAAGGGAATATTATGAAGATCCTTCAGAAATTTCATTGTTCTCTGAGGAAACAATACATGGTAACTTGATTAGTTTTTAAAATGATCAAAGGAATTAGGGTAGACAGGGCAGTACCTTGTATTAAAACAACAGGGGAACTGATCTTACATGAAAATAATAATAATAATCCTTGCATTTGATAAAATGGCTAGCAAGCTAAATATAGTTCAAAGAATAATCGTCACATTCATGAAAGGCTACCTTACGCAATCGATGCTGAATCAGTTGAAGTATTCATAAAGGAAATAGACAGGTTCCATACACAGCAGAGAAGAAATAGATGCAGGTCTAGTGCCAGGTCACAAGGGACAGCACTTCAGTGACTGGTGAGCCACACAGACGGAATAACCTTAGTCATTCCCAGAATGTGTACGCAAGTGCATTGGAATTCCAGAAACTAAGACACTGTCAGCTATATGGGATTGATTCATTTAAACACAGCCTGTCTCTTGTAGTCTTCTGCTGTAAGAATGATCTAATTGAGGGTCACACCAACGCTTTCCTTGTCCTGGCCTCTATTATTTTGTCCTTTTCTATTCTTTTCACTAATGTTCTTCTGCTCAGTAGCGTTATCCATAGGCAAAGTAATATCTTCCCTATGTATTCTGATGATTTTCATCTCCACCATGACCTTAAATTCTCTTGCGGTGGCACTTCCTTAACATTCTACTCTCAACAGTTTTGATCCTTTCTTTCAGTTGCCAGGAGTCTTACTAAGCAAATTACAGTCTAGAGGGAGAACCGATCGATCCATTCTTCAACTTTTAAATTGCCGAATCATTTGTACAAGCACTAAAATTTAGTATATTGCCGAATCTTTTAAGCATCTATATTCTCATGAGATTTTCATGTTCGTTGTCGAAGCATTTGGTCGTCGAAATGCTGAAGTGAAGGAAAATCTGTTATTGTTCCATCTTTGAGCAGCTCGTGGAATCTGTACATTTCAATGAAGCAATGTGAATTTCCAGTAAAGATTAAGTTTGCTCAAAAATACACAAAAGATTTATCTTTTTACAGCAAAATGCAGCTCCAACAAGCTTGCAAATTGGACCATAAAGGATGCTGCCATAAAGGAAATGAACTGTAAAATTTTGTCTTTATAACTTATTTCATTGTTCCAGAACTTTGTAAAATTTAGCCAGTAGACCTACCTACTATTCTCATTCTCCACTGAAATCCCAATTGCTCCAAACCAAACCTTATAAAACTGAAGGATAAAATACACACGTTAACGTTCTGCCAGCCAATGTCTAAATTATATATATCTAGAGATTACACAGTGTTCTGTATAATTGTAGGTAGGATAGCATGGGGAGATATAACTGCATTGGTACTGAAGCTGCTTAGACATGCATGTAGTGTATTGACTAGACGATATGGAGTAGCAGGATTATTGTGGTATCTAAATCATGCTGCAAATATCCTATTGGTTCAATGCTGCTCAGTTTTTCATGAAAATATGATTTGCTTCAGTGCTTAGTTTTTCCAGTGAGAACACTGGAGATAAAGATGCTTAATTTCAGTGAACCGTTGGGCAGGTTTAATTCAATTAATTTAGGAAAATACTATTTTAAAAAAAACACGGGTTGACTGTGGATATGGGTTCTGTATTTTGGGTATAATCCACCCAAAAAAATAGAATTTGTGGAGTCCAAACAATTTCAAAGTAGCCCTTACTAATGTATAACTACTGCAACTAAATGTATGGTGGAAGTTATTTAGCATTTGAACTCGGTGATATTCAGATGGAAGGATTGCTTATTTGTCAAACTTGGTATTGGAACAGAGTAAAGATTTGTTTTCGTCAGTTGACGGTCTGACAGGAGTGCAAACCGATCACCAGATTGAGAATTCCACAGAGCAATTAATGTACCTGAGACGGAGATTGGTAACTTCTGTTTCCTTTGCTTTTGTATTTTCAGATGAAAACAGTCAGCGTTGCTTTAGTTCTGTGCCTGAATGTTGGTGTGGATCCCCCAGATGTGGTGAAAACGACTCCCTGTGCCCGTTTGGAATGCTGGATAGGTGGGTGCAATAGTCTCTTTATAGTGTTAGAATGATTAAAATCACTAATGCCTCACTGTTTTCTGTGTTTGTTTGATGCCTTCAGAGTTTGCTTAATTCTGGAAGTTGAACTGGCATTAAACAATTCTCGTGAGTTAAACAGTTGTGGGATTCACCACAGTCCGAAAAAAAAAAAACTTGACTTTCAGCCCATTGCACTACATCCACTTCATCATCACACTGTAAACGTGGAAACTTCCTGCACTCGTGTCATTACCTCTATCGCGTTGTCATTGGAACAAAAAAACTTTTCCGAAACCAAAAACTCAAATAAAATCCAAGATGTATAATATCTGCTTGAAAACCATCCAAGTTTTCCATGTGTTGAGGGATTTGGCTCGACCATTTCTTGAATCCTCGCCCCCTCCCCCCCCCCCCCACACACACACACAAAATCTCCTCTGGGTTAATTGAAAGAATTGTTGGAATGGTCAGAGCGCCACTGTTCAGAATGTTCCATTAACTGCAGCCTTTGGTGTCTGGAACCCAAGATTTAAGGCATTTCAGCACATTTGTTGTGCAGTATATAATGTGAAATGCTGGCAGCGGGGAAGAAATAACCCTGTTCCTGGCAGCCTGGTAACTTCTCGTACAATGTAATTGCATCCTGTGGTGCTAATGACATTCTATTAAATAAAAAGTGGATCCAACTTTATCCCCGGAGCTACTTTAATTGTTACTTAAATTATTTCAACTCTATTATTAATAGATTTTCCTTATTTAAGCATGTATTAGGTGGTGGTGTTAGGTTGAGCTTTAATAATTTGGTAACGTAATTATTAGAGGGAGGGCACGGGATAGATAGTGAGGATTTGTGACCTGCTGCAGTGAAGGAATTTTCCAGCGTAATAGCTAATCTGTCCTGAGTTCCATTTCCTGACACAAAATGGAAAAGACATGGCATTGGAAACACAGCATGCTAATCACTCCCTTTCTCAATAGGCTCCACTGACTCCCAGCAGATTGATGTCAAGATTTTCACTCGCTTTATGCCCTTGCACATCCCACCTCTACTCTCCTGCTTACCTCTCTGCTTGGCAATCTCAGACTTGCTACACTTTCTCTTTCCACCACTGATGGCTAAACTTTCAGCCTCTCTACTTCCATCCTTTGGAACTCCCTTCCTGTTATTATACACTCCACCTAAAGAAGATCGCACCACAGATAGACAGAATAATAATTTCTGAAAACTCGAAATTGTTGCCTGAGCGCTTAGCTTTTACAAGGAAAAATGTAGTTATGAATACTTTTTCAGAGTTTTGATACCTTAATTTTCTGTGAATATTAGACAGAAGAACAGATCCAGTATCCTCCAAACCGCATAAAGCAAGTAAAATCTAAGTAAAATTTATGCAGCTTTTATTGGATTGGAATGCTAATCAGATGGAAAGAATGAAACACCATGTATTTTTCTGTTTTTTTTGTATATTTGCAATGTTTAATAAAAATGCACAGAATATTTTGATCGATGTAGCTATTTGCTGATGTGAATTGCGATAACCGGTACAGTTTATCTCAACAGTATTGAAAATAGTTTGGATGGTGCTTATCTTGTCTATTTCACATTAAGATATGAGCAAGATGTAGTGCGTCACTTCCAAACCTTTCAACTGTGTATAACCAGTCAGGACAAAGGACTAGATTGGGGAAACAGTGACTTGACCTGACCTGCTGCTTTATTTATCATCCAAAACTTGCATTGTGAGCAGTTTCAATTTATGGAATTTTCTCTTTTCGTTGTTCAATTGTCCTTAAAATACCATAGACTAAGCCAGTTTGCTCCCAATCAGGGATATCAGAGAGGGGGTCCCCTTTTCTATATTTCCAACCTACAAAGTTGGAGATTCTTCCCCTCAGGTGTCTTGTACAAACCCACTCTTCCAACTATACTCTAATTATTTTCAATCAAATTTCTGACAATCGTCATTATTAGGGGTGGTCTGAGAGTCTTGGACTTGAGTGTGGCAGTCTGAGAGAGAACCATTCTGAGCATCTCTTGAATTCAACACTGGGACAAGGGCAGTTTCATGCCACATCTCTGCCCTGTGCTTCTAAATTGGCTGGTACTGAATCTTCTTGGCACTCTGTGCCATTGAGTATTCATGACCTCCTGGTTTTGTTGCTTTGAAGAAAATCATCGACATTTATGGTGATTTATGTTGTTTTCCCAACTGTTTCTCACTTACCTTAAGTTTATATATTGGTGTTCTTGCAGATCCACTATCCATGAGCCCCCAGAAAGCTTTGGAAAGTATTGGTGCTAATTTACAGAAGCAGTATGAGAATTGGCAGCCAAGGGTGAGTTTTGTTTCACTTAAGATACACATAGAGGTTATGAGCCATTCTGATTTTAACTTGAGTGCATGAATCCTAATGGAATAATACATGATGGTAAGTAGAGGTGAAGAGTTCTGATAAGTTTAGAAGGATTTGATAAGAAAGCAGAACGAAATGATGGGAAGAGGAATGTGTTACTGCCAAGTGGCTCTCATTTTCAGCTTGCCAAAGCAAGAAAATACTTGCATTGGCAATCCAGTTTAGCGGTGAATAACCTTGAGACCAGTCTAGGTTGACATCAGTTGTGTGCCAATACATTGTGTTATAACTTGACTTGCAGAATAGTGTCAGCACAACATAGATCTACAATATCTGCTCACCCGGCTGAAATCAAGATTCCTTTTTTCCTTAGGAGTCCTATGATACAGATCATTTTAAGTATAACCCTTAAACATGCAAGTTCATATTTAAATGAAATGAAGCCATGCAAAATGTTAATTTCCTCGTCTTTAACCAGAATTTATTAAAATTCTGAGCAATTATCTTTGATTAAAAACTGAAGTTGCCAAAAAAAAGCTCTGATACATCAAAGGTTTCTTCTCTTCCCCTCTTCCCATCCCCATACAAAAGTGAATCTACAGACATTTGAACAATCTCAGCTGTGTGCCATTGCATGAGTTCTTTACTAACTCTTTTTCCCTAACAAGGCCAGCACTTGTCTGCTGCCGTGGAGTTTTGTGGTTGATTTTGAGAGTTGAGGAACTCAAGTTTTTTTTTCAACCAGCACCACATGGCTTTATATAAAGTTGTGCTTTTGTGCAGTTGGCTCAAACTGACACGATCGCTCCTCACAAAGCTGGTGGATCCTTCATTCCATCCTAGCAGACAGACAAACAGACATCCTAATTCTGGAGTTTCAACACTGTTTCAGTTGCTATTCCTATCCGCTAATTGTTCTGGAAGTTGTGAATAACGGAGTAAAGGCATAAATAAATTTGCACGGTGACTTTCATTCTGTCAAATGCTGCCGGAGTGAAGGATCGCAGAAGCTCGTGTGTGACGAGGTACACAAAATAAATGTGTGCGAGAAAATGTTATGTAATCCTTGACCTTGCGTTGTCTGTTGCCTGACCAGCCATCCATACTTGCAGAACACTGCATCAAATTTCAGGCACTTAACCTCCATTAGTGTTCTGCTTCAGTTGTCTCATGTAAAGTTATGTATTTAAGCAGCTTTATTTTGAAGGCCATTTTATTGCATAATTTTACAAAGTAGTTTAAAGCATTAAGGAGTGCTTTGGATGAAATACTTTGGTTAGCATAGAAAGTTATTTGAAGATTATTGCTGTATTCTAATCGCAGTTTATTTTTGCATTAGCGACTTTAGAGGAAGTGCTTTTTTGAACAGAGCAGTCAAGACATTTAATGGTTGCCATTCATATTGTTGAGTTTTTAATATTCATAACTATTCTGAAAGACAGTTCGTTACTTATGATGCCTGATTTGGGCTTTGGCTCGAACAACAAAATGCATTATTCATTTGTGCTACATATGCATTACATAAATGGTTTTGTCAGATTTGGGGAGAAGGTCCATTTTATGCTCATCAAGGTGAGGGACATGAGCGAGACATTGGAAACATTTCTCCACTTTGGGCACTCGGTTTTTGAAGCACTCCAGGAGAATAACTGTTTCAGTGATTTGTTGTGATAACTGCAATACTGTTGGTTCACTGTAATTCGATTTGCCAGCCCTCGACTGGAACACAACCGTAAACTCATTGTTTTTATGTGTTTCGATTGAAAAGTGAATACGTATGCAACTTTAATACTAATTTATTAACAAAAATGTTGTTCAGTATCTGGATACCGAGAAAAATAAATAATGCAGTACGCTTGATGTGCAATTTTGAGGGCTAAATGCAAAATACCTGATTGGATTATAAAAACAAAAGAAATAAATGAAAATTCCATTGAGTTATAAATAGGGAAAGCAAATGCACTTTCTAAGGCTGGGACATATCAAAGTTATGTTGAATAATTCATCATGGTATAGGTGGTAACTATAGGCAGTCGCACAATGTCTGTTCAAGGAGTTATTTCATTACTACAATAGACCCACATATTGTCCGAACAGGAATAATCACAAATGAATGAACTGATCAATTTTAATGATAAACCCTGGGTTTGTGTGAACCCAATATTTTTCTTGTTGCATAAATGACCTCAAGAACTCCTCTGTACAAACCAGTAAGAGGCAACACCATAATTGCAATGGCCAACAACACCCCAATAAAATTGGTCATTCACTTTGTGGCTGTTTTGTGGGGCTTTGCTTTGCGTAGTATTGGCTGCTGTGTTCGCATGTAAAATACATAGTCACTACATTACATTGTGAAGTGCTTTGAGACTTCATCCCGACATGAGAGGCACCTATATCAAATGCAATGATTTAAAAAAAACTTCTTTCTTTGAGATGATGCTGGTTAAGCCTCCATGAATAACCAACCATTCTCAAGTCTTTTCTGTCATCAAGACAAGTCTTTTATGTAAGTCTGTGGAGAAACTCCAGATTGCGCCAGTAGCCTACGATGCCAATACAGCTCCAGGTAGAAGGAGAAGGATTGAAATAAAAACCATCAGTGGGATGTAAAATGAGTTACAAAATGGACATCAACTCCTTTAAGGCAAAAGTTCTTTTTCAACTAAACTCGCATTGTGAGGTTACTGCAGAGCAAGTCCTTCCCAAGGCAGTCCTTGTGCTTTAGCAGTCTAGAACTCTCTGTACTCTTTTGAAAATTATGGATCTCTCCACCCTCCCCTCTTCTCTTTAGAAGCAGTGTGGAGGGTATTTAAATTAACTAGTCAGAGGACATTACAGATGTGGGAGAAACCCTGAAAAACTACTGGAGTCTTCTAAAAAGTTTGCAACTGCTTTTATACAGTGAACAGAGGCAGAACGGCACAGAAAGATCAAGCTCTCCCATTGTTGAAGATATGACAGATGATGGTTGAGCCTGGAATAGTTTAAAAGTATGATAGAAGATATAAAAAAGCTATAAAGGAAAGTGTAGAAGGCTATAAGGATACATATTCTGTAGTTATAAGATATACAATCCACATTGCCGGGAACGATTCATGGAGGCTATGGATTCATGTCAAAAATTGTCTATGAGACATTTAGTTTCTGGGAACAACAACAGCTTACATTATTAGCGTCCTTCATTTCATGGTGTTCTCTTGATGGATAGGTGACAGACAGACAGGCACTGTTATAATTACTGTTTCTGAGCTGGGGCAGGTTTTAGATGGGATGCGCAGCTACTTGTCCATTCTGGGCTCAAATTTAACGTCAATGAACCTGGTAGTTTGGTCAGGTTGTAAAATTGGATATGGCATTCCATCTCTCCTACCCAAGGGTTTCAGATTTCTAGCTCTATACATACCCCTAAAGACCTCCATCCCATTCCTCACCTGTATATTTATTCAGCTGTAATTTGTAAGGTGTTAATTGATGTATCAGGTGCTTTACTTGAAAGTTTTAACCGAATACTGTATTCACTACTGGGAAATGGAGGATAGAGGCAGAAGAACGTGGAAGAGGAATTCTTTTCAATTTCAAGCTTTGCTAGAGGCCTGTTGATTTATTACTTGTTTAGTTCTGCACTTACAGTCCAACTTAAATAACCCACTTACATCTTCATCATCCATCCTTCAGCATTTTAAAAGATTGGATAACTGTGTCTGGAAATATTGCCCTTCAAAAAGCATTTATTTAACAGTAGGTTGTAGTATGCTCCCATTTCGAGATCCAAGTCTCTCAAAGCCATTACATTTAGGAAGGTTCAAAAGGACATAATAACAGCTAACATGATTTGGAAGAGTTGGCAAACTGAAAGTTATCTAGTCTTTAAATCGGATTAATGGGCTTCAGTAATTACTAAATTGCTGCTGAATGATATATTAAAAGTGACAGTATCCCGTGCGCCTGAATTTAAATACTGTAAGCTTGATTTAACACATTAGAAAATCATACTACAAAAAAATATTTTTCAGTAATGGGGAGGATTTCTTCTCCAATTTCAGAGCATTTCCGCTCCTCCTTTTAGATTTTTTTTCAGGGCTTGAACAGGCTGTTGACGTATCGTACCTTTGCAATTCTGAACTTGAATTTAATGATCTGCTCAACACACTTTTCCCTGCCGCATTTCTCTGGGGAAATACTCGGTACATGACAGTATCTCCGTATTTCTGAATTGAGATTAAAAAAAAGCGCAGAGAAGCACAGACCCCACTGTAAAGGTACAGTTTCTTGAAATTCTCCGAACCACACGTAATTTAGTAACCGGTTACAGAATCACATTGATCGAGGGCATATAGCAACTACAACAAATTACATTTAGATAGCACCTTTCATGTCGGAAGGTGTTGCAACACACCAAAATTTAATTTATTGTAGTTCATGAGAAATAACTTTTGACAGCAGCGTTGAAAACGCGTTAAATGTGTGATTCACTGGCAGCTCAGATGGTAGCCATTGCCAGGTATGACAAGTCATACATACCAGAACATTTCCAAATTTCACCCCTGTGTTTTGTGAATTAGTTTCCCCAGATTAGCAAAGTATTGCGGTTAGATCCTGTGCAGATGATCTCTTCTAACTGGATTGAGTTTGAAACCAGGTCATTTGATTTATTTTATGTCTGAAAAAAAATAGGCTGTTTGACAAAAGTAGCCAGTAAGGGGTTAAACTGGAGTCAATATGCCACATGTAGGTGCAGCCAAATAATCTTTTGTTAGTAAATCCGGTACACGGGTTTCTAAATATTGACCATGATTTGCGAAATTCTAAAATAGGGTCACTTGCTGGTAATCCCAGGTTTGGCCTGATATGTACTGCAATCATCTTATGATATTTCTGCCAATGTGTGACAAGGCCGCACAGTTAAATAACTTGGTCTGCATGGGCGCTGACAAATTGCCTTTTTATAATTCACTTCATCCAATTTTTGCAATGTCCAC